TTTTATGGGAAAAATACGTTTTTACGCTGCCTCCTTTCCTTGTTGCTGATTTTGTTATTTATTTTATTTATTTAAATTTCTTGGCTTAGTTCTTACTTGACTTTAAATATAGATCCGATCCTTCTGTAGATTTCTGTGCACAAATAGGGTTTAAAATGTTATAAAATGTTCCTCAAAAACATTCAGCGAAAGGCGCAGCTATGGGCTGCCCACTGGGGTTTGGATAATTAAAAGTTTTACCAATATAAAACTGAACGCCTGCCTGTGTATGTCGTAGACATTTATGCTCCGCTGCCATGAGTTTTCGGAGTAAGTGGCACGAAGGCTGCGAAGCTGCTTGTGTTGAGAGGAGAGAGAGTCAGGCCTTTGCCTTTGCCTTTTTACTATAAATTTGCATAACGTTAACAAGTGCAATCAAATAGTCATAAATAAATGCGAGCCGCATTGCATTTATGGCAGTTGCAGAAACTGCGCATAAAGCTGCCACAGCCATCCCATGGTCAATGCACTCGAGAGAAAAAGGCAGTCAGAGTGAAGGTTGGAGGTGGAGTGGAGGTTGCAGGGCAACAAAAAGGAGCTGGCAACAGTGACGCCACCAAACAATGTGCCACTTGAGTTGCACACTGTTTTGCTGTGCAAAAATTATATTACAACATTGTGTATAAATTGTGATTTCCATGCAGCAGCAGCAGAAGGAGCAGCCGTAGCAGAAGCAGAAGCAGGAGCTGCAACTGAAGCAGGAACAGCATTCAAGTGCAGAGACTGCACTCGCGTAATTGAGTCAATGTGTTGTGTGGGGTTGTTGGGGTGTGGCTATGCTTCGTTACTTGGCTCCTTGCAACAGAGTGCGACAGTGTGTCAGGGCGGCAAACAATGGCAGCCAGTCCTTGACTCAATCCCAGTTGAGGGACTGGGTACTTTGTCCTACCCGAAGAGCAAGAGCAAGAGGAACTGCAGTCGTAGGATAAGCAGCAATGTGCGTGTGCATTGCTCGGTCGGTTTCAACACGCACTTAACGCACCCCCCAGCACCCCCAGAACCCCACAGCACCACACATTATACCATCTTTCTCAGCACATGTGAATGAGCGGGGGTCTGGCCCCTCCACACGTCGTACAATGTTATCTAGGGTCCGTCGGCGACTGCTCATTTCCACTACAAAAGTTAATATGCTGCTAAAATGGCATTAAAAGTGCTGGGGGGGTGGGGGCAGGAGGCAGAGTCGCTGCTGATAAGTTCAGAAGCGTAAACACCTCGCGACACAGTTTGCCACACATGCCCTGGAGGGGTGGGGGGTGGTGGCCAGTGGCTAATAAACTTTGCCAACTCAAGAAATGCGAAAAGCGAGGGGAGCGCTGAGGGGTGCACCACAGGCAAAAACCTCACAAATGGAAAATGTAAGAGAGCTAGAGGGGTGTGCTGGGGTGTGGTGGAGTAGGGTGGGGTGTGGTGTGGGGAACGTGTTGCAGCCATGAACAAAAATAGCTGACCGTTTGTGCACTGTTGCACAAATTAAAGTTTATGTTATGTTCCCATTGGCTAAGTGGCAGCCAATGGCAGCCACATGACAAAGCTTTGACACTACTTTATGGTAGTTTATGGACACATTCCAACCGATGGTCGATAGCCAGTCTATGAGGGAATGCAGCAGCAGCAGCAGCAGGAGAATTGAGTAGTCCAGTGGGGTACTTGGAAGTGTATAGTAAATGCTGCTATAGGATTATTCCGAGTTATTTTGATGCACAAAAAAATAGCAATACTCGCACAGAATAAATGTTAATTTTAATTGTATTTAAGGTGTTATCCATTAATTTCCATTTTTGTCTTGGCGTTTACTACAATCTTCTTAGTTCCCAAATCCTTTGCTTTCCTTGCCCTTATTGTTGCTTGACTGCAAACCACGCAAATGCCAATTTTGTATCTGCCTGCTATCACTGTCAGTCCCGTCCCGTCCCAAATCAAATCAAATCAAATTCATTGAGTGGCATTATTAATTAACAGCATAAATGATTTGATACATTTAAGTGAAGAGAACTGCGGAGAATGTCAAACACAAGCTAATTAAATGGTTTCATTGCCCCGCCCCGCCCCCAGCACATTTTCCACAATTTGCATAACAAAACTAAACGAAAAGTAGCAATTTAATAAAATGCAACGAATGCTGTGCACTGTGTGTGTGTGTGCATCAATCAAAATGTGCAGCGGCAACAAAGTAGACTGACAGCTGGGGGTGGGGCATGGGGATGGGCATGGGCATGGGGCTGGGGGTGTGGATGAGGCTGGGTCTGTGGCTGCGGCTGCGACAGGGTTTGGGTTGGCTGTAAGTGGCTTTTGTGTGAGCTCATTAAAGGGATTACACCACGCCACTTCCCCCCCACCCACCGCCGTTAAAACAAACGTGCAACTTAACTAAATACGCCCATGACAATAGTTTTATCAAGTGTCGCTGCCGCTGCCGCTGCCGCTACCACTGCTGCTGCTGCTGCTGCGGCTACGTATTTTTGTTGTTGCATGAAACAACAATGGTAAATTGTCGAAAAAAAAAAGAGGTTCCACCAACAAAAGTGGCAGATCCCCTGCCCCTCTGCTGCATAGAGAGAGCAGCACCTTTCATGCATTCCCTCCTTATAGTTGCTCTCATTTGTGTTGCTATGCTCTCATAAAGGGTACTATTGTTACACTATTCGATGAGGCAACAATCGTTTCAGCAGTCTAAAATCCTAATCCTGGCATATTCCTATATGTTGCTAGGAATCTTCTAGAACAATGTTAGATAATTCGAATGATAAGTATTATAAGAAAAACGCTAGAAAATGCACCAATAATCCAGCTACATTGAGCCCAATGACTGCCTAAGCCCCGCCAAATCTGTAAGAGTATCTGCTGCTTCTGCCCTCTCTGCACTCTTTCCACTGCACTCTCTTTCCACTGCACTCTCTCTCATCTTTCTTGTTTAGCTATGCATTTGATTCTGCTTCTTTTGTTGCAACAACGACCACAACAGCAGCAGTGACTACGTTTACATGGGCGTGTCGTGCCGCCTATTGTCATAGCCGGCATGGCTATGGGAACCGAACCTCATACATACATATACTCGTATCGTACTCGAATGCTTATTTGGAAGCTGCCTGCTGCCTGCCGCCTGCAGCCGTCGGTCGTCTGGAACCCTGATGTCGTCATAGTTGTTGCTGCCTGCACAATAACAACGACGATGCATCCGCTTTTTGTCACAATTTTGTATGCTCTTTCGTTTCGTATCGTTTCGTTTCTATTTTTTTTTTTCGTTTTTGGTTTGCTGTTGCAACTTTTCATTGTCAGTGTCATTGTTTCTGTTGCTGTTGCTGTAATATTACGTATGCGCCCTGTGCAGGGGGTGTGGGTGTGGGTGTGGGTGTGAGTCTGTGTGCTTGTGTGCACCTTCTTTGTTGCAGAGTTGCATAAAAAATTGACCATTGAACCGGCAAGAGAATATTTCTTTTATATTTTTTTTTTTTGTTAGGTTTTCGTTTTCTTCATGCGTGGCTTGGTTTTGAAATGAAGTCGCTTGGACGCCTTTTTGCATAAACCATGAACTTGCAACGTTGCCCCTTTTCACTGAAATGCACATTTCACATTTGTCTGTGTGTGTGTGTGTGTGTGTGTGTGTGGGTGTCTGTTTTTCTTTGTCTCCAGTGTCTGTGGATCCGGGACAATGTTGCCAACTGCCACCAGCCCCATTTGCAATGGGCGCAGTGGCAAAGGAAAATGCAGTTTTTTGTTTGTAATTTTTTGGCTGCCATTTTTTGAGTTTAAAAGATTCTCACATAAAGCATAAAATTATGCCGAATTATGTACATGTGGATATGAGAGCACTCCTTTTGGGAAAGAGAATAATCTTATGTTCAGTTCGGAATACACCAAAATAGATTTTATATCGGGAATTAGTAAAATAAAAGAATATCAACGCACAGACAGGAAACAACTCTGCAAAAGCAGAGTCCCGTTTGGTTATGCCTTTGCTTTGCACAAGGCTCCCCGTCCCGTATTTGTGCTGAGAGCGCAGCCTGCGAGCGGGAGAGCCGTCTCACGCGCATTTATGCTGTTGTTGCTGAGCGAGCAATGGAGCGAAACAATTTAGGAGAGTGGTCTGCATTGCGTGAGCGCAGCCCAAAAGCTCGGAGATCACATGCAGATCAAGAGATAAGACAATGGCGACTGCGCCGCAAGACAAAATACCAAGCAGAAAGCCCTTGTCAAATATTTAATTTTTAAAGGGCAAGAGAAGAGAAGTATTGAAGCATCGAGAAAATAATATTTCAGCCTGGCAAAGTAAGACCCAGAAGAAGCTGTTGAAAAGTTTCACCTGGCTGATTAGTTTTCTGATCAACGAAAAGTTCTGCCATGACGTTAGCTAAGCTCTGCTGCCATAGCGAATATATGTATATATTGTATATTGTATACCCAGTGACAGCTTTGATATAAACAAGTTGTTGAGCTTAACAACTTTTGAAGTGATGTGCCCCCACCTTGGCTTACCCTTACCTTACCTTACCACCCTGTGCGCCACACTTGACATCCACATGACAAACAGACAGACAGACAGACAGACAGCCTGCCTGCACGTGGGGATGGGACTAAACAAAAATTATTAGCAAGCACTCGCGACAGTCATAACTCAAGTGTCAAAACAGCAGCGAAATGTTATCAAACAATTTCAAGGTTGGCTTGTCCTCTCCCGAAACGACTCCCCAAAACCATCCACCTTCAAATAAATGCGAATGTACTCGCAGTACTCAGTGTACTCTCTCTCTCTCTCTCTTTCGTACTGTGTTCCATCTATAAAATAAAGCCCTCAAACTTTTGCCGGAAGCCAGCCAAATAAATCACATTTAACAATGTGCGGTAGGTGGAGTGCAGAGGGCGGGGTGGGGAAGTTTTGTTCATTTCTGCATCGGCAAGTTCGCTGCGTTCCAGAGATGGGCGAATGTAGAATGAAGAGAACGGAACTTATTTCGACTTACCTTCGCGCACATTCTCGTAGGCATCCTCAACATGTGACTCCTTGTAGATAATGGAGTGAAAATCAAGTTCGTCCTCGGCATTATCCTGCTGCTGCTGCGGCTGCTCCTCGACGTGTTGTTCCGTTGTTGTGGGTGGGAATGTTGTTGCAGTTGTTGTTGACTCCTCAGACAGCTCAGGGGGCGCCACTGTCGTCGTCGTTGTCGTTGTCGTCGTTGTGGATTCAGCAATTTTCTTTATGAAGTTTTCTGTCTTATTATCAACGGCAGTTCTGTTGTTGTTGTTACTGTTGTTATTGTTGTTGCTATAGTTATTTGTGTATTTGTTAGAGTTACGAGAGGCCAGAGGCCGTGCTCCTGTACTGGTGCTGGTGCCGGTGCCGGTGCTGCTCCTGCTCCTTGGTGTGACTGTGAACGACTCCGTTGTGGATGATGAAATCGCAGTGCGATTTATGTGAAAATAATGTTTGGCATGTTCAACATAATAGGCATCACGTTCCGTTATAATTTTACCCTCGAATACCCCATTGTGTATGGAACCAAATACATAACTATTACGATCCCCTATCACTTCGCCCGCATAGATATGATCCGTGGAGACATCAATGGGGCCGTTGCTATCATAAAACTATCAGTGCATGGGATAGAAAAAAAAAGAAAACATATATAAATATATAAAAAATAAATTAATAAAAGATTTTTTAGTTTTAAATATATGTATGTATATGTACTCACGTCTAACTTATCGCTAAATGTATTTAAATCACGTTTTAATCTAAGATGGAAGTCTCTTCCATGTGCTGCAAACTTTAAATGTACATAATGATCTTTGGTCACTGATCGTCGCGCCCTGTTGTGACTAGCTCGGATGTGCTCGTGATCATAGTCGAGTGTTTCGTAGTGGGATATGTATTCGTTAAGTCGTTCATGACCTGCAAAAAACACACAAAGACAGAGAGTCAGTCAATCAGTCAAATCATTAGCTATAAATAATTAATGTGGCATAGAGGTAAATCTTAGAGCTGTACGCACAGTAAATTATTCAAACAGAGCATATATAAATCTTGGCCCAGAAACATCTTCCATTCTCACTACAAATCCATTGACAAATCTGGAAAATCGAATGCTGTTTAAAAAACAAAAAGCAAGCCGAAGAAAAAAAACAATTCAGAGCCAACCGCAATTTCAATTTAATTGAAGGCCGGAAATTGAAACAAAACACCACAGAGCGAGAGCAGAGCACAACTGTCGCCCCCATTTCATTGCCACTCACGGGCCACGCCTCCCTCTTAATACTTTTAACGTTTGCTGCCTTCTGCGAAGGGAAAGGAGAGACAGGAGGAGTGTGTGTAGTATGTGGTAGGTAGGGGCTGCAATTTCTTGTAATGCATTTACTGTTGCAGTTGCCCTGAGAACTGAAAGTTGTTGCACATGCCACACACCCTCTGCAGATGGCAAGTGGCACTTGTGGGGGGCAAGAGCAGGAGGAGTTTCTTTGACTGGCACAAACATATTTATTTTGGCAGATGGACTGGAAAAATGGAAAACGAACAGCAAGAACGGCTATGAGGCAGTGAAATGGCAGGAAAAAAAAGGGTTGGGTGCTGCGGGGGCCGGCTGTGCCACATTCGTTTGGGGCCAACAATATTCTTGCTTTTTCCCCCAGTTAAAACTTGCACAACATTTTTAATGCATTTACAACACACACACACATTCGCCCATAACTGCATTACTTACGAGCAAATTTTGAGGCCAACAGAGGACCGAAGGGCCATGTGGCCATGTGGCCATGTGGCATGCCTGATTGCCTAATGGAGTGTTGTGTGCGAGGGCTAGGACCAGGGACCAGTGCCAGTGCCAGTCCCAGTCCAGTCAAAGCTTTTACTGCAAATATTTTTTGCACTGACGGATTCGCATTGTGTCGCAAAAGTCTCTCCAATTTGCACAATTTTGTATCAGAATCGAACATCAAAACGCACAATAATGCAGTCAGCTAATGTGACTCTCTTTGATGGGGTCAGCAAGAGGCGCTGTGAGAGGAATATGTCATGGAATAAAGCCAATACAAAATGGTTCCAATGGGTACATTTTCTTTCCAATTTGTGGAATATTTCTGTGTATTCAATTCCATTATATATTTATTTATTTTGTTCCTATTTGGCCATCAAGCAAGCCAGTAAATTAAAAGCCTTAATTCCCCTCGATGGAACCACAAAATGGAACAGTAACTAATCTTATTGCTGCTGATATTTATTGTTTGCAGGCGTAAACCCCAAATGAATGCCACAGAGCAAACCATCAAATTATCGACAAGGATTTGGCTAAGTAAATACAAATGAAAAACTGTCATAGAAACAGCAGAGACAGAGAGAGAGAGAGAGAGGAAGCAAGCAGCACTAAACCGAGATGAAAACAAAGCACAACAGTTTTCTCATCATCAAGCCAGAGTCCTTGAATATTCAGCAAACAAACTCTGGCTAAAATCGAGGCTAACAAGAGCGGCAGAACGAGAGACAGGAAGCGGGTTAATTGCGTTCAAAAAAAAAGCCACAAAAATCGATGGCAAAATGAAAAAAATAAACCTAAAATATCTGTGGTCGGCATACAGACAGCCAGCAACACGACAGAGCGAGAATTTCAGGTGCGGAGTACATTCAGGTGCATTTGGCATGAGTGAGGAATTTTAATTACTTAAATATTCGAAAAACGAAAAAAAAAAAAAAATACGGCCGCTTCACAGGATGCGGGTTTCGCCTTCAAAATGGTTGCCGCAAAATTAAACAAAAAGAAAAAATATATAAATAAAAAACGTGGCAGGAGGGTAATTAAACTGAATGCTCAAGCAAACATTAAACAAAATATATATACATTTTTTTTTGAAGCAAACTCCTGGATGAATCCAGCTAGAACAAAGAGAGGGACGTGGTGGAGTGCTGGGGCTAGGGCTGGGGCTCAGGCAACCCCTGTCCAAAGGGTCATTCTAGTAGTTGACCCACAAAGCGGCACAAAGGTTCCACTAACCGGGTCTCCGGGTCTCGGTTCTATAAGGGCCAACAATGCGGAAAGCCCTTTCAGCGACTGATTAAACAAAGCTAAAAGCCCAAAAGGGGTTTTCAAGCCGCACAGAAAATGAGAAAATGAGCCAAAGGTGCCAGCAATGGGGGGGGGGAAACGAAATGGGAATGAAAATGGCAATGGCAACCATGTCTAAGTGACAATTTAGTGTCATTAGTGGCTTAGTGCAAGCTTTGGTCGATTGGAAGAGCCATCTTAATAGCTAAACACAGCAATTATTCCATTCCATTCGATTGGCAGTTCGCCTTTGTTGTTCAAATGTCAACCAGAGTTCAATTGTCTGAGATTAATTGTGAAGCTAAAGTTCTTCTTGGAAATGTCTAGAATAGATTTTGAAATATTTAATAGATTCAATGAGAACACATTTAAAAACATTATAGATAATGTTTCTGAGTGAACAGTACACAATTTAAATGTGCCTTTGCATGGAAACAAGGGAACAAGTGAGACCGCAATAAAATCTCAACGAAGAGAATGAGAGCTTAGGCTGTTCGTCGTAGCTGTAGCTGTAGACTCTCTCTGGAATAACAAGAGATAGCATTTAGTTCTGTTTCCGAGAAGATTTCAAAAGCGGGGTCGTCCCCTGTATGGAAAATTCTTCTTTTGTGTCCAATATACATACATATGTCTGTCATTCGATTCATTCTGTAGATTAATATGCAATGCTATGCTGTGGAAGCATTTACATGTTTTACCAACAGCTTGAATTCCCTTTATATGGAAAGGAAAAAATATATTTTTAATCATTACTGTAGTCCCTGTAGACGGTCTCAGTTTGGTGCGAGTATCTTTGCTGTCTGAATCTATTCCAAGTAGTGACACCTTGACTTACATCTGTGGCCTGTTGCTTTCCGGTTTTTCCGACCCAATCTTCCGGCCTGGCTGCCGGTCGGTCGCAGCAGCAGCAGCGTCTGGGTCTGGACACACAGCTGCACAAATGGCACAGATAAATAAGAAAAAGCGCAGTGGAAGAGGAAAAACCAGCTGAGAACGACTTTCGCTAGTCGCACTTGGGGCATAGACAGGGGCACGGAGCACGGGGCAGGGGCTACGGGGCAGGCGTGCATGGAAAATTGAATATGGCCAAATGCGCTTGACCAAAGAAAAGGCCAGCATAAACATGGGAAAAACAACAACGGCCAGTGAATGGCTTTGCCCGACTTTTCCAAGCGCAACAAAAAAAAAGAAGAAAAAAAAAAGAAAAATAAATAACAAAATTACAACTTTTCTTTTTCAATTTGTTTTTCTTTTTCTTCTCTCTCGCTCTCTCTCTCTTTGAGTCTCTGAATTTCCACAGACACGTTTGGCAAGTTTTTCCAATCGATGCCACTTGAAAAGGAAAACCTAAAAGTCCGCGGGAACAAAAATCTGATTACGAAAAACTACCGTATAAAACGAAAATTGGTAAACCGGTTCAAGTTAACAAATTTTTTTTGGAGAGACCAAGCGGCAAAACTCTAACTCAATTGAACCCTCTCTTTGGTATCCCACACCCAAAAAAAAAAAAAAAAAAAAGAAAAAGGAGAGAAAAGAAAGGGAGTGCAAAAAGCGATTTTCGTTTTGTCTCACTTATATTCCATTAACCCAAATTCTCTCAGCTCTCAACCCTTCAGACCCGACCCATCGATCCATGTCGCCAGAGCCAGGACAAACGAGCATTTAATGCGCTCCACTGGAGAGGCATAGAGGGAGTGAGGCAGGGAATGAGGGAGAGAGATATGAGAATGCGACGATGCCCTGGAGAGGGTTTACAGTGCACGCCCCAGAGATGCAGCTGAAATCTCCAGAACCGAATCCCACTGCCACTGCCGCGTTATTCATTTTTAAACTGCATGTCCCCCCCCCCAGCAGACCATCTAGGGACGATGATGATTCAATTTAGTTGCACTGTGTGTGCCGACACAAAAATGGCTTAAATGGCTCTCCAGCTGCAAGCTGGATATCGGACCCATATACATGCTCATTTTTGATTGATAGGCTTAAGTGTGGGCGGCTGCTGGGCAAGGCTGGAGGTAAGCGAGTTACTGCAGATAAGGTTTCTTCCACAACCACACACCCATCTGGGGGGTTGCCATCGACTTGCATTTGAGATTCGTTTACAGTTTTGTACTTGAAGTTGATGGATGACGTTGGGTCATGTGGGGGGCGGTAGGGGATGTGCCATGTCCTTAGCTGTGTAACCAGTTGGGCCACAAATTCAGTTTGAATGTTCGTTCGTTCACTGATCGGTGCCAATATTTCGGTTAAATGCAAGTCTAAATTGTGTGTCGATTTGGTTTTAAAGTTTTGAGCTCTAAGGCTTAATTTGGGAGCAGTCTTTCAGTTGCATGACAGTTACTACAAATGTGATTAGGAAGGTCTACAAGTACCTTCCCTTTTCTCTGCAACAGTTCCAAAAATACAAAAATAAATCTCATTGCTACGCGAAGCAGCAGAATATTGTAGAAATTCAGAGAATTTATTCAGAGCATTTATTTAGACTTATATTTCCCCCGATTTTAGCATCAGTCCCCACCATTTTACCACCATCAATCTTTGAGGTCTATGCAGAGAAACCCCATAAAACTCTCTGCGTGTGTCTTTGTGTGTGTGTGTGTGAGTTTCTTTCGTACTCCCAAAAAGTACTCCAATTATTGGGGGCACGTGCGCAAGTTGGCAGCGACGTCAATTTACATTTAAATCCCCTCAAGTTGAAGGATGAAAATGGAAAATAAATAAAAAATACAAAATATCCAAGAAAGGAGGCATACAGCAGAGGTATGGGCAAATTTTAAATACCCTTTACGCAAGAATATACACATGGGTTTTTTTTTTATTATTTTTTGGTTTTTTCCATCCAAATAAAAAATAAATTTAA